CATAGTATTTCCTTATTTGATGGCATAAACTTGATGTTAGCAGGCAGATGGAATATCAACTTTGCATTATTGGAAAATGTTGACTAACATAATTATATACAGTTCAAATCATTATTTTGTCATTTTAAGCATATTTAATGGTTAATTATTGTGTTTACACTGATAACAATGTCTACATCTGTATAATTCTTATGTTCTTTTTCAGATGATATCTACTTTCGGGAATTTCATGGATTCGGGTGATAAAGAAAAAGAGGTCATTTTTCGTTGTTTTTCACACTTTTTACCTATATTCCTGCTAAAAGTTGATGAAATGCGGCCTATTTAGCAGGAAGAGCATATGGTGGTGTCCTTATCTGGACGTAGGTCACATACAGTTTACAGTTTGCTGAAAATACATAATTTTTCCGTTCATAAAATGTCTGTTTACCAACATTTATTTATCACCTTAACATGAAAGATAAGGATAAGCCAAGTGTAAACGAGAGAGTAGTTGTTAAATTGACGTGCACGGATAAAGGCATTTCTAGTTTCAAGTTACTATTTGAATGCTATTATCTTTGGTGTAAATTACTCTGTGCCTACACTTCGTTGACCAGATACGTCGTGTGTTTGTTCGTCATCTATATTCTACGATACAATGACATGAGCGTGTTACCGTTCAGATTTGAGGATATAGCTGATAGAAGGAAGTCAGCAAATGAACTCTGCAACGATTTTCCAACTTAGAGCGTCAACCTGAGAAGGGTTGTAGGCGTACTCCTGTAGGTCCTACAATTCTTCAAAGGGTAGCGCATCAATGAGCAGTCCAATGTGCTCGGTGTGTGATTTTGTGCATAAGTTCATATTGTATATACTGAATTGATATCATCTGTCATCTAATTGTTGATTAATCTTGTTTGTGTCCGGACATTCCACAACTTACAATGGTCAACCTGTGAAGGGTTGTAGGCGTACTGGTGTAAGTCCTGCAATTCTTCGAAGGAATTCCTCCAAGACATGATCGGCGAGGTTATTTGTACTGTTTGTGTATAGGAGTGGTGTGTCTTCTCAATTTGTGATTTTGGATTCATTGTGTTTACTTCTTGTTTTCTTATCTTGTTGTTATGCATAATTTTGTTAAAATTTTCGTGGTGATTACTTCTGAAGTTGTTTCGAGTCTTCTACATCCGTGAATGAATTGATTGATGTTAGAGACAGCAGATGGGTCGTATACGCCGGGGAGGCTAGGCTATTGCTGAGAATGAAATGCACACAGAGATAATTGTTAGCTGTGGTCCCACACGCCGGGGAGAAAGAGTGTAAACGACTGAGGCTCGCATATGTCACCGTTACTAGAATTGAGGCAGAATGAGTGACAAGCGATTTCAGTGGTAATTGGTAGTGAGTTGATAAGAGGATGTGCGTAGAGTATCGTGAGGTGGTGCTATGGTCACGTTGCATTCTGCAAGAGTCATTCCAGCAAGTGGCGATTGTGTTACAAGATGTCAAGAGGAGGTCTCTGTCTGGAGGCGCAGGTCGTCAGCGATGTGTGAGATTGTGCTGTGGGTATGCTTGTGGTGTGTTGGCTTTTCTGTTTGTTCTCCATTTCAGCTCTGTCCGTGTGACCCAGGTTTTCGCAATGGCATCCAAGTCAACGTGTATTGATCGTGATGGAAAAAAGGGGTTGGATCCCTTTTTTGCCGGGGAGTGTCAATGCAGTTGAAGATTGAACGATCAATTCTTGGTTGTTTGCTCAAAACCAACTTCCCCAATTTTCGCGGAGGCATCAATACGACAGTCATCGTCTCGCCGGTCGCTGTTCAGAAAGAAGAGCAAAACATCGTCAGAAGTAATATTGTGATTTATTATTGTAATATTTGTTCACAGACCTTAGTGGAATTATTTTTTATATGTTGGTGTTACAATAAAGAAATCTCGAGCGGCCAATCGGTGTTTTGGTTTTTGCGTCCGTTATTACTAAGCGTTTCTGAAAAACTTCAAGGAACAGCCTGAGCCCGAGTGTAGCAAGAGCTGGGCATTAACGGTTTACGAGACGTAACTGATGCTCTATCTGTTATTACTGGAGACTTTAACACCTCAGATTGCTCCTTTCTTGAAGCTCTTGGTCACACAAACATAGTCAAATTTCCCACTCGACTTGACAGTACACTCGACTTAGTTTTTACTAATGACGAAGGAGTATATGAAACACGTAGACGTTCACCAATACTTAACTCTGATCACTGCGTTGTCCGCGTTTTGCCAAAAATATACAGCAAAACATATATTAAAATCTTCTCACACCTGTCTACGATAGCACAGCAAAGAAGCTACACACCTGACAACCTTCTCAATCTAAGATGCATGTTAAAAGATACCAACTGGGATCTATTCTATGAAAGTACATTAGATGACTCAATCACCAATATAATGGATTGTCTCAAGTTCTGCCTCGACATATGCTGTCCCAAACAAACACTGTTCAAACGCCTCGACCGCTTCTCGTGTCCCCATCTCAAACAACTTCGCAGGCAAAAAGAACTGTTATATAAATGCAAAGACAAGTTAGGACTTAAAAGGATTAATGCTCAAATCAAATCTGAAATCAAAAATCTTGATGCTATCTATAACCAAACACTTTTATCATGCAAATCTCCTATCAGCATGTGGAAATTTTTCAATGAAATTACTGGCAATAGTAAGCGATGTAGTGTTTTTCCCTCCTGTGATGTTAATGCTCTTAATCAGTCTTTTATACGCTCTCCTTCTACTATAACCACTTCTAACGTTACTAATCTTGTAGCTGATAACTTTCAGGACTTTAACACTCTTGATGTTTTAAAATGTCTTAAAACTCTTAAGCCCTCACATAGTCTTGGCCCTGATGGCATACCTGCATATGTTCTAAAACAATGTGCAGATGCTTTATGCTCTCCTCTAACTAATATCTTAAATGCTTCTTTCTCCGAAAACGTTGTACCTGTTCCATGGAAAGACATTAAAATAGTCCCTGTCCCTAAATCTGGCAACAGCAAGAACGTAAAGTTCAGACCCATTGTCATCACTTCCCCGTTTCTAAGGTTTATGGAAAAACTAGTACTTCTTAAACTCGAACCCTCCCTTAAAAGCTTTGAAGACCCCAAACAATTTGCTCACAGACAGGGTAGGAGTAATTTAGACGCTGCAGCCGTCTTACACAACAGTATTGTCTCATCAATAGACAAAGGTGCCAAATATGTCCGCTGCACGTTTCTTGACTTCACTTCTGCTTTCGACTCTGTACCTAGATGTCTCTTGCTAAATAAGCTCTCCATGACACAAACCGAGTCCTGGGTCACTAGCTGGTTGCATTCCTACTTTTCAAACAGAACGCAGTACACCGTATACAAAGGCGAATCCTCCTCTGCCGTGCTCGCTGAAGCTGGTGTCCCCCAAGGCGCTGTACTCTCCCCACTTCTCTTTTCATTCTTCCTACATGACCTACCATCTTCAAATGACATTAACTTTGTCAAATATGCTGATGACCTAACTGTATATTTACCTGTCAAATGTCAAAGTGACTGCTCTAAACTAAATGGCTTCTTATCAGAAATCAGCCAATGACCCAAGGAAAACGGTCTCACCTTAAACCCCTCCAAATGCCAAACAGTTAATTTCACCTTTAGGCACAAATCTGACCTCAACAAACTGGTTAGCACTAACGAGGTGTCAATGGAGTTGAAGATTGAACGATCAATTCTTGGTTGTTTGCTCAAAATCAACTTACCCAATTTTCGCGGATGCATCAATACGACAGTCATCCCTTCATCGGTCGCTGTTCAGAAAGAAGATTGAAACATCGTCAGAAGTAATACAGAGATTTATTTTTGTAATATTTGTTTTCAGACCTTAGTTGCTTAGTTCGTTTATTCCCTTTATATGTTGGTGTAACAATACAAAATATCAAACGGCAGATCGGTGTTTTGGTTTTGGCGTCCGTTAAAACTAAGCGTTTCTGAGATATCTTCTAAGAACAGCGTGGGCCCGAGCGTAGCGAGAGCTGGGCATTAACGGTTTATGAGACTTTGCTGACAGTTTCTGACGATGGAAACAGATCTGGCGGATTGAAACAGTTGGTGAAAGTTTGGATAGTCGCCGTTCATTTTTCCTGGTGCCGGTCAAGTCCTCTTTGAACAAGCAATATCTGGAACTTTTTTGGAATTTGGTCAAGTTCAACAATGCCTGGGTCAAAGAAGGGACAGAGTGTCTTGGATGCAAACAGGAAAGTAAGTCATGGTGACTTGTCTGTTAATTGTAACGATGTGTCTGATGTTAAACATGATATGGTTGATGTTACTGTTTCGCCGTTCAGGGATAATAGGAACATCAAACTCCCTAAATTAGAACCACGATGTTTTGATGGAAACCCGGCTGATTATTTACAATTTGTAAAGGAGTTTGAGATCATGTTGAGTGGTTTTTTATTAAATGATGAATTGAAATTGATGTATTTGATGAGATATTGCACTGGAGATGCTGCAAGAGCTATACAGTGCTGTAAGTTTATGAAGCCAAAAGAGGGCTACGATGAGGCTATGAGCATATTACGTCAAAGGTTTGGAAGACCCTCGATGATTGCAGGGAAATTATTCGAGGCTGTTGAGGGTAATGGTGGTCAGTTACAGGATGACTCCCAGGCACTCACTGAGTTTTTAGATAATTTGCTAATTTACAAGAATGGAATGATTTCGATGAATCGCGTGAGTGACCTCAACTCGAGTTTTATACTAGAAGTAATAGCAAGACGTCTACCTACTCGACTGCAAAGGAAGTGGGTGAAGATAAGCTCCCGTATGGAGGATGAGGGTATCGAGCCAAAGTTTGATGATATCCTGAAACTGGTAAATACTAGTGTCAATCAATCTATGAGCAAGTTCGCCAGTCTGTTAGATCTCACCCATAGAATAGAGCAGTCTGAGGGTAAAACGCACTCATTGATGACGAATAAGCCTCAGAGAGGTGGATATCGAGAAGGCTCCATGATGTCTAGTAATGCATATAGATCTAGTGAGTGTAACAGGTTTCGTAGTACATCCTCAACAGATAAGTTGCAAGATGCAAGACAAACACGGTTGTGTTGTACTCGTTTGCAAGAGGTGCATACAAAGGTGAACTGTGAACCAGTGAGCAAGTTCAGTGATAAGCTAAATGTAAACTCCAGGCCTTACTCCGAATTGTGTGACGATAACGTTGTTGTGAAGAAGTCTGTAGTTGCAACTGGTAAGCCGTTGCTGAATAGAGTGTCACAGAATAGAGTTACTGCTTCAGAGTGGAGTTCTGACTCCAAAAGTTTACAAAGTATAACTAGTCAGAGTGAAGATGTAAAAACCTTAATGATTTGTGAGGAGGAACCAAAATTGTCTACTTCTGTTATTAAAGAGTTTGAAAATGATGAACTTGACGGTAAATTGGATATATGTGATAATGATCATGATAGTGCAGATTTGTCTTTGGTTGATCATGATGAAATGGAGGGATATGCCTACTACTGCTAAGTTAAATAAAGGTTCTGTACAACTTGAACGTGAAGTAGAAATAAATGCAGATTCAGTTGCAGAAGGCATGCATACTTGTGAGACCGTCAGTGTAATTGATCAGCGTGTAGCCCACCTATCATCAGATGATAGTGCTAAACCCGAACTAGTAGTGAAAGACAGCAGTGGTGGTAATCTTGCAGTTGGACAACTATCTGAGAGCCGAACAAGAACAGCTTCTGATCCACCACTAAGTTCATCACCTTGTGTCACTCAGTCATCGTTGGTGTTTTCATCCACAATGAAACAGATGCCCATCAACTCAAGTATCTTGTGCAATGACTATGGTAGTATCAGTTCGTTTGAAAGGACGAATATCAATGGTCAGTTTAGTGTGGATAAGCCAAGTGTAAACGAGAGAGTAGTTGTTAAATTGACTTGCACGAATAAAGGCATTTCTAGTTTCAAGTTACTATTTGAATGTTATTATCTTTGGTGTAAATTACTCTGTTTCTACACTTGGTTGATGAGATATGTCGTGTGTTTGTTCGTCATCTATATTCTACGATACAATGACATGAGCGTGTTGCCGTTCAGATTTGAGGATATAGCTGATAGAAGGAAGTTAGCAAATGAACTCTGCGACGATTTTCCAACCTAGAGCGTCAACCTGAGAAGGGTTGTAGGCGTACTGCTGTAAGTCCTACAATTCTTCAAAGGGTAGCGCATCAATGAGCAGTCCAATGTGCTTGGTGTGTGATTTTGTACATATGTTCATATTGTATATACTGAATTGATATCATCTGTCATCTAGCTGTTGGTAATTCTGTTTGTGTCCGGACGACTTCCACTTGGATCATCAACCTGAGAAGGAATGTAGGCGTACTGCTGTAAGTCCTACGGTTCTTCAAGGGTAGTTTGTCGTGTCAGAATCCACAACATTTGATGTGTTGATTGTACATATGTTTGTGTTAAATAGTTGTGTGAGTTCCAATTGATGTAATTGTTGGTTAATCTTGTTTGTGTCTGGACATTCCACAACTTACAATCGTCAACCTGTGAAGGTTTGTAGGCGTACTGGTGTAAGTCCTGCAATTCTTCAAAGGAATTCCACCAAGACATGATCGGCGAGGTTGTTTGTACTATTTGTATATACGTGTGGTGTGTCATATCAATTTGTGATTTTGGATTCATTGTGTTTACTTCTTGTTTTCGTATCTTGTTGTTATTGCGTAATTTTGTTAAAATTTTCGTCGTGATTACTTCTGAAGTTGTTTCGAGTCTTCTACATCCGTGAATGAATTGATTGATGTTAGAGACAGCAGATGGGTCGTATACGCCGGGGAGGCTAGGCTATTGCTGAGAATGAAATGCACACGGAGATAATTGTTAGCTGCGGTCCGACACGCCGGGGAGAAAGAGTGTAAACGACTGAGGCTCGCATGCGTCACCGCTACTAGAACTGAGGCAGAATGAGTGACAAGCGATTTCAGTGATAATTGATAGTGAATAGAAAAGAGGATGCTTGAAGAGTATCATGAGGTGGTGCTATGGTCACGTTGCATTCTGCAAGAGTCATTCTAGTAAGTGGCGATTGTGTTGCAAGATGTCAAGAGGAGGTCTCTGTCTGGAGGCGCAGGTCGTCAGCGATGTGTGAGATTGTGCTGTGGGTATGCTTGTGGTGTGTTGGCTTTCCTGTTTGTTTTCCATTTCAGCTCTGTCCGTGTGACCCAGGTTCTCGCAATGGCATCCAAGTCAACGTGCATTGATCGTGAAGGAAAAAAGGGTTGGATCCCTTTTTTGCCGGGGAGTGTCAATGGAGTTGAAGATTGAACGATCAATTCTTGGTTGTTTGCTCAAAATCAACTTACCCAATTTTCGCGGATGCATCAATACGACAGTCATCCCTTCATCGGTCGCTGTTCAGAAAGAAGAGTAAAACATCGTCAGAAGTAATACAGAGATTTATTATTGTAATATTTGTTTTCAGACCTTAGTTGCTTAGTTCGTTTATTCCCTTTATATGTTGGTGTAACAATACAAAATATCAAACGGCAGATCGGTGTTTTGGTTTTGGCGTCCGATAAAACTAAGCGTTTCTGAGATATCTTCTAAGAACAGCGTGGGCCCGAGCGTAGCGAGAGCTGGGCATTAACGGTTTATGAGTCTTTGCTGACACGAGTTGTGCAACATAGATGGCACTGAAATAGAAACCAAGTCAGATGTTAAATACCTACGCGTCACTCTATATTCTGATCTTTCCTGGTCGTCTCATATCTTGACGATTTCCAAGAAAATATTCCGTCTTACCTTCTACATCAAGAAGTTAAGACTTTCTGGTGTAAGCCAACCCTTACTCCTACAATTTGTTAACTTCCGTATTCTGCCCATTATTCTCTATTGTTCCCCCTTAGTCTTTCCTGGGCTATTGAAGAAAGACTATACCTTATTACGCAGGATGTTAAAGGTTGTCAGCTGGGTAAGCAGTTTGCCACTTAGCCAGCTTGTTAATATTCTGGTGGACAGGCACATGGACTCATGTGAAAAATGGGCGAAATCCATTTTATCTGACTCACAACACCTTCTACATTCACAACTCTCCCCATGTATCTCTTCAGAGAAAACCAGAAGCCTATATAGGAAACTATATGCCCGCACTGGCAAGTACAATCACTCATCCATACCCTACCTAGCTCGAGTTCTGTGCGATAAAGAAAGCGTTAGGCGGGAAACCTTTAACTTAATAAATAGTCAGTAGAACAAGGGGATCTCGTCTTTCCAAGTCACATCATTTACAGGTACAACGTTTTCTCTCTACCTTTTTTTCCTTCTCTATTTATTTTTGTTATGTGCTGTTTTGTTTCTCTCTTCCTTAAAAACTCTACTTAAAACATTCTTCTTCGTTATTTCACACTCTGTATACCTCGACCATTTTGCTATTGCTTACGCCAGTAAATATGCTAGTAGTATCTACTTTTCTAACACCTTCAAACACTCTGTTTAAATTTTGGCTTTGCTACCGACTTGCTAATATGTTGTTGTCAAAACTGACTGAGATAACTTTAATCAATGTAGAACTATATTTATTGTTAATGTACTAACTGGATGCAATATTGTAGTAAAATGCTGAGAATTCCATTCTGTATCACAAGTACTGATTTGGAATAAAGCTAACCTTATCTTAAAAAATATGTATAAATCGTAGAGGAGGTATTGCGATTATAAAGCGTTTCGAGTTATCTATCGTCTTAGCAGAATACATGAATTGATTCACGATTCATAGTCACAAAGTGAAAATAAATCTACCTGAGATAGTTTGCTCGTTATTTCTGCATGTGACAATGTACCATAAGGAGAGACTATACCTTTACTGTTAGATGTATAACTCAGTGCAACTACGGTTATCGTAATAATTAAAAACAGAATGCCTAGGGTTCTCAGCCACAGGACACGATACGTTGCTATCTGTTCATATAACCACGTAAACAAAATTTTTCCAGACGCCGCATTTACTCCTAACAGTTTACCCTCAACTTCTAACTTAGCACATGCTACTTATGTTACTGGAACACAATCGCATTACAACAGAAGGAAGACAGATTCATTGAAAAATTGTTTATTAAACAAAAATCAGATTTCAAATGTACAGACAATTCAGATGAGTAGTCCTCTGTTACCGTCAGTAAGTTCCATCTGCGTACACGGTACATATACGTTTTTCCATAAGTCTCAAAAGGTTTAAGAAAAGCATAATTAACTTGGGTATTACATGTATGATCTGAATAAAAAAAATTTCCTGATAAGCATTTAAAAGTAATCACTTTACAAACAATATATATATACATAAGTAGCCCAGTAGTTTTCACTAAACTTAAGGGACTTCGCGACTTATCGTTTGTCGATATCTAGTAGGTCCATCGAAGCATCATGAAATGATAAAATTATTTAACGACAAGTTATGCAGTAGTTTCCAAAGCTTGTACAAATATTTTAGCAAAAGTGACAACAACTTCATGACAAATAATAGGTCTTGACAGCAATAACAATAACGTTCATGATCATAGTGACTATAAAAACAATAATAGGTATTATTATCGCAACGAATTCATCATTAACTTAGATAGACAACTAACAACAATACAATCATATCAAATAAATGTATCACTTAATCTTAAGAAGCATGCGTTTACTTACTTTCACTGTATTCTCTCAATACTGATGTGCTCAACAAGCTTATTCCAACTGAATTTAAGATTAATTCTGAAAGTGAGTGGAGATCCAGTTTATGTCAAATAAAAACATGTAACTTACATGTATTACACTGCTTACTGAGACATCTGGTACCTGCTTTCCGATCTTCGTGACAAGAACACAGTTCATCTAGGTTTACCTACATTTACAAAAATGTATACGTATATGCTGCATCAACCATGCCGTTTTTATCATCATTAGCAAGACCACTGTGTATATTATACTTATTTAAGGATCTCTGAAAATGATGGTCAAGCGGTTATTGAAGTTGCGTGAAGTTATTACCTCTTCAAGACATTGTTTGCATTCTTGACACTCCTGAGAAATCCTTAGATCTTAATTTGGCATGAATTCGTTGAATTCAGGAAATAAATCTACTGCTATATCACTTCTTTCCTGAGCTGTAGTAATTTGTGTTGTCAGTTATTTCTCCAATTTGATAAAACGCTCACGGAAATTCAGGACTTAACCAAGCAGCAAAATGATGTTTGAAATTACCTCAACTCGAATGACAAACTGGCCAATCACAAGCGAGCGAATCGCTTGTTTATCTCATTCGCGGTCACTCGAAATTACGTCCGTCGATAGGCTGTCCTGTTATCGTGGATTTATTTCTATTCATTTGTTCATTTTGTACGCATTTCTTCAGCGACGCATGTTCACTGCTCTCAGCGGAAGACAAATGGTCGCTTCATCCCTTGTTTTGGCAACATTTTCGTCGATTTTTGCATCTCGGCTTCACATGAAAGTAAGATTAAGCTATAAATTAACGTCATTTTAAAAGGGTTTTACAGTGAATCACAAAGACATCATGGTTTACTTCAATTTCGCTCAAAACCTTCTGTGAATCCCCCTAGAATTCCGGTCACAGCACTAAAATCTACGGATGCTGCATTGATATAATATCCAATGATTCTGAAAATAGCTCTCTCTTTTTAAAGACACTCTAGGGAAACGAGACTAAAAATTTTATAACAAAGTAAAAGTGGACGCTTTAATGTAAATAATAATACAATGCAGTACTTGTTGGCCGCTGGCATCTTCTTACCTGCGAATATAAACAGAATCGGTTATGTTCCTCACAGAAAATTTATCGTGTGAGCGGTAACTATCTTCATAGTAAAAAACATTGACGTTTGCGGTACTTTTGCTTCACAACATCACAAAATGCTGTCAACCACAATACTACTTGTATGGTGAGAGAAGGCTGCTAGCCAGACTGGTAGACAATTATTTACGTCAATGTTTATGTCTCAAATATTGGCCACAAGAAACTGTGAACAAGGCTGATCCAACAACCAATCACAGCATAATTCGCGTCGGTGGCACAGTGGTTAGGACTCTCGCCGACCATGAACATGGTCCGGGGTTCGATCCCCTGCCGACGCACACCTGATATCTATGGTTGGCCTGCGAAATTTGGGCTACCGATATCCACGCTGAAAATTCCATACTTGTACCAAAAATACGGTGTGGAATCAAGCTGTAATCAAAAATAAAAATAAAAAAATAAAAATAAGGTAGATACAGTTAGCATATCGATGACCTGACATTCAAGAAACAGCCACAAAGAGATGCAAGGTCAACTTTCTGTGAGAAACAACCACTCAGAAGTGAGTTTTTGTTCGCT